TATTCTAGAATTTGGAACCTGTCTGTATACTTATCCGCAATGTCCCACAAACACAGACACACTATTCGTGACCGTCGGATGCTATAGTATATGAACATATATATATATATATATATTACATTATATATATATATGTGTATATATATACACATGTGTGTGGATGTGTTTATGTGTATAAACACATATATATACATATGAATCTTATCTGTCTATCTATATACATATACATATATGAATATATACAAAATGCATATATGTATATAGATAAAATACATTATATATATATGGGTGTGTACATAGATATATATATAAATAAATATGTGTATATATTATATATAATGTATACATATATATACATATGTACATACATATACACACTACTATAGTTATTGAATTCTATTAATAAAAATCTGAATTGGTTTTACTTCTTTTGTATTGGGTGGTACATATGAATCAGTACAAAGCCTGGTCAGTTCCTAAACTCCAGACTCAGGCGACATAGCTCGAAGCAGAATGCTAAAGGATCGTGTTTCCAAAGCCTGTTCAGGGGGTGACGCCGGTCTTCTGTTCGATCCAGTCCAGGTAGTAGTTGACGCGGGTGAAGGCGTCGGGGTAGCCAGCCTCACATCCGGCGGAGGAACCGAAGGAGGTGATGCCGTAGGTCATGCCGTTCAGGTTGAGGGGGCCGCCAGAGTCACCCTGCAGAGGAACACAAAAATAAATTCAGTGCATACTCATAGAACTGCTGAAGGCATGTTGCAAGGGGGAAAAGTGGGGAACACCTACGTTGCATGTTCCCTTGCCGCCCTCGGAATCAATGCAGATGACACCGTTGCCGACGATGCCGTACACGGCGTCACAGTCGGCGTTGGTCATGATGGGGACATCCACCTGACGAAGGACGTTGGAGATACCGCTGGCGCCTGTGCAGAGAGGGTCATCTTTAATGTAGGACACGAAGAAAATGAACAATACAGTTATATCGTGATGAAAAATGGCAACACAATGAGCAACCAAGAAGGAAGTGAAGCACTTACTGTCAGAGGGGCGGCCCCATCCTGATGGGGTGACGGTGGTTCCCACGGCAACGTCAGAGGCAGGCAGCTTGACAGTGGAAATGTTCTCTGTAACGTTCCATTGTTAAGGTGATTGATTAGCTGATAGTGAAAATGCAGTTAAAGTTTGCATTTGCAATGTAACTCTCATTCACTTGTAATACAGGTGCATGCTCATATACAGACCATTGAACTCAACGGCGGTGGGCAGCCTGATGAGGGCAATGTCGTTGGTGAGGAGCCAAGAGTTCCAGTTCTCATGAGTGAAGAAGTCGGTGGAGACAATGGAGACCTGGCTGGCTTCGTTCTCGCGAATGTTGTGGGCGCCCAGCACTACCTCGACGAAGCCGGCACTA